ATTCGAATTAAGACTTCGCATCGTTAATTGCACTTTTAAATTTTTAAAGAAATCTTAATATAAATATCCTTTGTACGGTTTTCAGCTTAGTTGTATATAAATGTTTAATAATATTGGATATATTACTTCATATATAAAAGTGAAATAAAAAAGACAAGATGACTCTCATAGCTTTATTGAATAAGTATATCACTGTAATTTTCAAAGTAAAATAAAGTATTAGTCAACATTAATGTTTTGTGTGATTTTAATACGTAACCATCACGTTCGGAGCATCGTTTGACAATCTCCTCGGCATTGTTCACAATTATCTACAACTCACACGTTTGCCTAAGTAGGATGCATCCTAGGTGGGATATGTGTGTTCGGAGCGATTTCGAATGATATACATATTTCGATAAGTACAACACGAGAAAAGCTACGCTCGAAAATACAGGTGTACATATACATGACGTGTGTGTGTGTGTGTGTGTGTGTGTGTGTGTGTGTGTGTGTGTGTCCCGCTTCCTCTCCAAGATCGTATTGCGTGTACGCGATTAAAATCTTATTCACGTGACAACTGAGAAACTGAAATTCATTATTTACAAGCAGCGTCTTCGCATCCCTTCTCGACCTCCTCCTTTCATGCATGAAACTCTCCCGAGAATTGCGCTTCGCGATTATGCAAATTATTAATATTGCTATTATGTACAGCGTCTCGTATCTCGAGAAACGCTACTCTCGGGGAAAGGAACATCACCTCAGCTTTTCTCAAGCTTGAGAGAAATTTCCGCGAGAAGGTGAAAACGTAATACTTTTCCGTGTCATCGCGTAATTGCACAAGGAATATTGTTAGTTCCAAACGTAAAATTTTTTAATTTGCATGTGTTAATATTAATGCTAAAATACAACAATTAGAAAAGATTACAAATGATATTGAAAGTCAGATAAACATTTCCAGAAAGTGTAACTGTGGTAGCTTGGAAATATTTGATACAATGATTAGTAAATATTTGATATATTTAATGCGCAAAGGATATCCGTACGTATTGCGTTTTCACCATCGCAACTTCGATTTCCTTCGACATAAAACTGAATGCGATTGCGTCGACAGCGAGACGGGATGGCTATACGCTTATCATTAATATTCCAACTATCAGCTATTATTATCTGTTCAAGGTCATTGAGCACCAAAAAGGAATGACAGTACATTATTACATTCTTTTTTCTGCTTTACTTTTCCGGCGATTATTTACAACGCTAACATTCTCTACACACGTCGTGTCGCGATCGGTGACTCGAGAAATTCGACTCTTCCGCGATCTTCTCGCGCATCTTCGGCGTACGGAAAGTATTCTCCGCGAATCGCCCGGCATCCGGAAGAACGAAGGAAGAGCAACGTAAATCGTAGCCAAGCTGTGCTAAAAATCGTCCCGAGGTTTTCTTTCAAGCCCCCTGTCGATTATTTTCCAACACGAAAAAATCGGAGGCACTGGCGATTTTCTTGGATTTTTCTCAAATTTCCAAAATCTTGCGGTTCAAGTTATGCGTGGGATTCCTCGAGGATACCGCCGTTATTATTAAAATTAAAGATACGCGACAATGATCGTTGCAAAATACTTTGTTTTCCTTGTTGGAGGCCAAGTTAATCGCATTCGCGATTGATCCATTCGTGTTTATTTTAATTCTCTCTAAATTTCTTTTTTAATAAAACTACCATGAATATTAATCCTCTGCCGATCGTAAATGATCCCATTTGTTTGGATGGAATCGAAAGGACACAATTGATCGGTTTTAAAGAAAGGACTCGATTGACACAACGAATCCTTCCGCTTCCTTTACGGACGATCGATCGTCAGTGCAGATATAACATTTGTCAACCTCGCGACGATTCGATGACTTTGGGAAACAGCTAAAACTATACGTATAATGTACAAGTGTTAGATATAGAAAGTTCGATAATTATAGCTCATTTACGTACGAAATTTGTGGTGTCGGAGCGCGGAAGAAAAACCGATGCGCCCCGCTACGTTCTGCTTCTAACTCATAGAAAAATCATGAAAAAATTTTTAGTTTTTCTTTCTTTCTCTTTTTCTTTCTGTCCTTATCTCTCTTTATTTTTTAGAAACGTTTCAGTATGACAAACGTGGTCCATCGTATATATATTTATATGTAAATGCTAATATCCAAAGATCCAGTAGACTTGTATCTACGACATATTAATGTTCGAGAATATCTTATAATGTAATTATTAATATCGCGTGCGGTTATACATGTAATTTACAAACAATATATGTGCAATAGCAATAGTATATTATTAAGTTAGAAATATTTTAACTTGTGCGCTCCGTCTCTTATAGCGAAAAGTCGATTTGCATAGGTAAAAATTTTTGCGTTTCTTAAAAATAATAAACTAATACGTTTAGAATAAATGAATCGCTAAATAAGTTCTAATATAGTTATATTAATCTGCCTAAAAAATTAAAATAAAGTAATAATAAATTATTATTATCATACTTTTGTCACTACATTTAATTAAAATTTTGTTAAAGGTATGACAGATTTTATAAAAAATTTTCAATTGTCGATAAAACTGTGCCCTTTATATATATCGCGATTATTGATTTATAGCATAAAAAAGAAACTATATCTAATATATATATATACATATATAAAAATCCTCCTTATACAAACGTGCTTGCAAAACCATACAATCGAGACGAGTTCTAAAATCGAATATACAAGTCTCTGGATCCGTTTAACGCGAATTTCTTTGTAAGTAATAATAATAATCTGTCGATCAATGAAATACGATTGCACGAGAGAATCAGGTAATGCGAGCAGGTTAAAAAATTATATTTGTATATCGTCATTATGCCCCTTGCTCGTTCATTGCTCCATTTTTCTACCATTCGACACCTACGTTATCTTACATAATCGTAAGCAAGTCCTGCGAATTTCTAACGTGACTCTCGAGCGTTCTTGACTGACTTTTTTTCTCTCCCCGCGAATTTTGTTGTTACGAATATCTTTCCATTCTTTGCCATTTATCGTAACCTGTTTCTTTCGTATTCATTCAACTTTTTAAATCCGATTATGCAAATCGTCTGCGAATTCATAAGACTAGACTCGACTGCCCAACGTGACCAATCAATAGCGCGAGATCGGAACATTCTCTGTTTCCTACCTATCGTTTCTTATTGAAGGAAGAGATACGAAGGGGAGAAAAACGATAAATAAAGTGTAGGGATCGCGATTGTGTGGGAAAGTCGAGAGCACGATTTACTGCGTCTGTTTGCCGTTCCTATTTCTTTACTTAGCTCAATTTGACCAAGGGGTTATTCTGCACGAGCGATACGAGGACTCTCGAAGGACCTCGTGTTATATCCAGTCTATGGCGCGCACGAACAGAGGGATATATTTCGGAAAAATTATTACATTACCGTTTATTGTGTATATATGGGACGTACGAAGATCCCTATGAGTAATAACCCCCTAAGCTTCCGTTATCCTGCCGATCCTCCGGCCGCGTTTGTCACGTTTTCTCTTCGTCGAAGGGGAGAAACTCACGAAAAATTGCACACCTTATACTTTGTAATGCTTCATCGATAATTGCAAATTTATACAGGCACACATATAATAATTATCTTAAATATCGTTAGATATTCTTGGATATTCTCATAGACAATGTTTTTTTGCGGTAAATACAGAAATCTGGAGATCGTTTTGGATATTTAGATATCTAGTATCTTAGATATCTATACTTTATAGAAACGCATCGTCTCAGAATTTCTGTAAATTTTAGTAAAGACTAAACGTGACTCTCGCCGCCATTGAAAGATTTTAATTAATTTTAGATTAAGAATCCGCGTCAGCGGATAGAAACTATCTTAAATTAATTCACTGGCCATATCCTGGACTCCTTCCGAGCGACACGTATCGCGGCTCGTTAAGTCTTGAGTAATATGTATATATATATAATGTGTATGTATATAATGTATATAATATATATGTACGTAGGTATAGGTATAACAACAGTCAATTATATAAAATTGCGGCAGTGTGTTTTCGCGTATAATAGTTAATGTTAAACATATTCTCATTCTTTTTCTCCCATTCTCTCTCTCTCTCTCTCTCTCTCTCTCTCTCTCTCTCTCTCTCTCTGTTTGTCCGTCTCTTATATAATCAATTTATTACTAAAATCAGGACGGCGAGGAACACTGGATACCATCTTTGTGTCTGCATCTGTCCCTTCACGATGTATTAAGTCGATCGTATTGAAAAACCAAAAGACTTCATGTGGGTCCTCATGTGTGTATAAGCACCTACAATGTATATAATGATAGAATGTATGAATTCTGAAGCACAAGCAATATTGTAAGTCATATTAAAGATTTCTCATCAAGGACGTGTGAACCTCGTAATTCAACCACATTTACAAAATAATACATATGGTACACACAATTTCCTTTCTACTATGCTGCGAACGCTAAGGTAAGGTAACGTTAATGTGTCATACGATAAATGACAATATGGTTTGCATTTATTTTATTTAAAGTCACTATTCAATTCCTCTACGAGCGAGTAGAGACGATAGGAACTAATTGACACCTTAATCTGATGTGAGTCATTCTAATTTAAAAACATACTTGGGACACCTGCGACAATGAACGTAGATTAATCAAAATATCGCACAGTATCGGAGCAAAATTTACAATTGAAAAAAATTGACGTGTAACGAGGACATAAATTGCAAACTTATGATATCTATAAACAAAGTATTATACTTGAAAATTCGCAATAGCATTGTGAAAATAGATCGTACTTAATATATATTTTATTTGATTCTCGTGAGCAATGATTCATAGCGAAAATATAACAGCATCCTGCCAATAATTTTAGTTCAGAGAGAAGTATATCGAAAACAGGAAAAACGAAGGAATTGACTTTTGCTCGCGAACTTAATTTTTGCGAAGAGGAATTTTCGCTTCTTTGAAAAATTCATTCCTAAATCTGCGGGGAAACGAAAGAGGACACCTCGGTACCCGGCATTCACTCGCACGCAGGCACGCAAGCACATCGAACGACATTCACACAGTCTGGGGCTGGAAATACAGCTAGGATTGCGACTCGTATATGTATACGTATATATGTACACGTTACATTCAGCTATACAATTAGTCTTGGTTTCGCGGCTACTTCAATTAAAACTTTACCCCTCTCTCCGTCTTCCTCTCGCCCCGTCGACTTGCCCTTCGCCCTAAACCCTTAAATATTCTCGCGCGATAACGCTAACTGTGTGCGGAAAGATGTGATTACGCGGATGTGTATAATATCTATTTATACGTGCGTGTTTATACTGATTACAATGCTTCTTTTTCTTCACCACGAACCAAGCCACGAGCGAGATCATGCGATAACGATGTATTACAGCGATAACTATGAGAATTAGTTACGATCGGGCGCTCGTGGCTTCGCTTCGGATTGTAGTGCGTGATTTCATCGTCGCTCGATCGTTCCCAACAATCACGGCGACGACGGCTGCGTCTACATTTAATTCTCCTTTTTTTCCACCTAATCGTTTGTTATCTTAATATTAGTCCATTCGCGCGTCTCTCCCTTCTCTCGCGCTCTCATTTGTTCACTCTCGCACTCTTTCTCTCGTTCGATCGTCGTTTTACAGCTTTAAACGTATAATAATACTGGCTATTTTTTACTCATTTTTACGTTCCCTTTTTAAAAGTATAGGTAATTATTCGTAGCATTTCTCTCTGTTTACTCGTAATTATTATCATTTTCGGTCAGTTCTTCCCGCGGCTTTTCCCCTGCATCACCTCCTCTAACCATTCGCGACCCAATCTCGGACAATTGATCGCCCGGTATTGATACAATAGCCAGTTGATTGCCCGATATTATGTCTATACGCACAACATGTCCAAACGAATCCGCCTATTGTCGACATATAGAAACGCCGCCATGTCCTCGCGCTCCCCTCTTCTCCAACGTATGTATAACATTTTTATGTATATTATGTATATCTAGTTTAGCTGTTTGTTTGTTTATCAGTTTGTTTGTTCATGTATCTTTTTTGTTTCTGTATACGAGAGCTAGCTAATGCTACAAGTAATAGTTTTTTATCAAAAGCACACACGTAATATCGTGACTAGTCTACGTATGTATATATAATATGTATATATAGTATATCGCATATAAACTGATTATTATGTATGTCACGTGCGCCTCTCTTTGTTGATCGGCTCGCTTAAGTTCTGTGTGTTGTGTATTCATGTGGATCGTGTTGATGTTAGTAATGTCGACGATGACGACGCGGAGGGACAACGTTCTTATCTTCTTCTCTTCTTTTTCCTCCCCCTTAGTGGCCCAGAAAAGGGCATCGAAGGCAAGGTATGCGTGATGAATCCATCTGCGATTTAACATCTGCTTCGAGAGACCATTACTTGAAAGGCCATTACGTGTTCTCGGAGAAACTCCTGTGACATGATGGAGAATTGAATGTGCAGTGTTTGAATTATTTGAGTCGCTTTCCCAGCAGTGACGTAACGTAAAGTGTCTTTAACTCCTTACAGTACTTGGCTTCGGTCCAAGTCCCTTCTGGCAGAACGGTATCGATTCCTGATTCATCTTCCTACGACGAGTAACAATCATAGTATCCACGCCTCTTCGTTTGGTTGCTCGATCATCTTAGTAGCGCTTTCATTTTTTACGGCTATATTTAATTACATACAGTAATAGTACTTACGTATCGCATTTTATTTCTTACGAAATTTAATTTCGATTAGAAGAGGCGATAAATCCAGACGTAACATTCGAGGGAGAAATTACTATCGCTATAGTTATTTCACTACGTAGCAGAGCTCCAGCATAATGTAATGACACTCTTTCTCTGACCGAGCTAGATCATTTCTCCATTCGCTTTTTCCTCTTTTTTTTTGCTCTCATTTAACTTTAACAACTTTTCCTCGCGAGCAAGCATACCCAACATAATAAACTGGAATCAATCAACTACCGTAACTCTTTGGGGTGCGTAACGAAGATGCTTATGAATCGAATAGCACCGTGCGAGACTTTCGTCCAGATCACTTTAACATGCTCATCCTATCTCGTATTTAGAGCTAAACGATCTCAGCCCTGAAAACTCGAGAATATTTATGAAATGACCCTACAAAATTAACAATTTTAATGAAATTAACTAAGTCGCTTTCTGCAAATTCGGTTTATTTTCTGAGCCGGTTCAACTTTCGGCTTGTTCTTCTGTCAATACTACACGTACGAATTGATGAAGCAGCTCTCAAATTTGTCTGCATTCTTGAGGAATCGTCGTCTCCGTGGCCTCTCCGTTGCTCGCTACGCACACTCGCGCGACGACGGCGGGTCACAATTAGTGCGTCTTGGGTATATGCTGATGTCGATCGTCATCGCTCGCTTCGACGTCACCCTCAACGCCTTTCTCGCCCTCCTCAGGATGCTGGGGATTACCCTCCTCGGTGTCAACGCTGCTTGTAGGTGTCACCTGCTCGACGCCAACGCCCGCACCGGCGCCGACGCCGATGCCACCCGACGTACTCGATGTCGTCGTCGTCGTCGTCGTCGTCTCGTCGCTCTTTTCATATCCCAAACTGCCCAAGAGGCTCTTGTTAATCGGCTCTGGTGAGGCCTCTGACTCCTCGCTGCTAGGTGAACCGGGAGACGAGACTATCACCTGCGCGAACAAAATGTACCCACCGTCAAGGTGCGTCGGTTAGTCGTGCTCGACGCCGGATGCGGTTGGAATTCATAAAGATTGATCAGACGTTTCGAACTTTATGATGTAATAAAACAAAAGAAATGAAGAGAAAGGAGAGAGCATAAAATTTATATGTATAAAAATAAATGTCCACAGCTGTTTACTACCGAAAGTTAAAAGATTAATATAATTTTTTCATCTGCTAAAAATAATATATTTTTAAACAATTTCTTGAAATGTTCGAAACACTTGATCATGATTTCCTGGATGACACTGTATATACATATATATTCTCTGGTATTACGGAAGGATAGTTTCCAACCATAAGTTCAATAATATATAAAACTTGTATATAGGGATCTACACCGTCAAAAATTCTTATAAACTACAATTTACATTTTATTTCTTATACCTTTAAAAAAAAAATTGCTTGAATCATATTGCGAATAAAATCTAATATGTTCCTTCAAAGAAAATTTTTAATACATAGTTCTGCGAAATCGTTTTCAAGTCAGCTTTGCATAATTTCGCGAATACCAGACAGTCGTAGAAGTAGAATGCAATTGTGAGCATACGCAAAAATATGTGCTGTATCAACGTGGAAAAGTATTTACAAATACTCGGCATGTTGGCGACATTTAGATCGTATAAAACGTGATGGCATAAAGGTAGAATGAGAGAGTTACATGAATGATGAATGTTTCTCTGATATCTGAATCGGGCCATGCATGTGACAACGAACTAAAGGCGGATGTACACGATAATGAAAACGATAATAACGATGATACCTGTGCAAGAAGCGGCGTCTCTGTGCTGTCAGCGGTTTGGTAGAGCCGGCAATTTGCGCTTGCTCTGAAGAATACGTGCCCAAACGAAAAAAGATAAAGAAGACAACGTAAATTGTTATTATAATAGGAATGACGTCGAAACTATATACACAAAATGGAAATCATATCCCCAATATATGCCCGTGAGAGGTATAGAAATGACATTGAAACATGCACGAAGGCATTTTGCATAAATGATATATATGAAATATATGTACATAACCTGACAAATTTATATCGCGACATATAATGATTAATGATAATAACAATAAATGATAAACACAAACCGTTTCGACTAATGCCCAATTTCTTCACCTCTAGATAACTTTATCCAAGAGATATCTCCCAGAATACAATGGAGATATCTCCTGGATAAGGTTATCCGCAACTTATCTGGAAGTGAAGAAATTGGGCATAAATATATGTTTCTTAGAGTAATAAAAGTTATCCTTGACAAAAAAAAGTTTCTCAAAAATAAATTGTTCTTTTTTAATTAGTTTGTTCTCTAAATATTTTTTGTAAAAATTTCTATTTAATTGAATAAGTTTTCTTAATTATATGAATCATTATAGTAGTTTATATTGTAATTTTTTTATTCTGATGTGATTACAATTTTTGAAATTATTTTTGAGAATGACTAATTATTGAGAAATGATCGAATTTTATAAATTGACTACTCCTTGAAACATGCCAAAACGTTTGCGAATTCGTGATAAATGGAAGGTTTTTGATCGAAATCTCATCGTGATTGAAAACATGTAAGCAGGGCGAATCAGTAATTACTAAATGGCATAGATTCTATTTGGAAGCGCGTCGCGATTGAGGTTGTCTGCGAAGCGAATAAAAAAGAAATAGAATCGGTATTTTGTCTACCATGCTGTTCAACATTTCAATATGCATAGGATGTGAGAAGAAGCGAGAATGGAGGAAAACTTACAAGGGACCCAAGTATCTTCCTTCGATTTTGATGAGCTTTGAATGTTTTCTAGACAAAAATAAGTGACATATTTTTTTATACCCTAATACACTTTTAAAGGGCGAAACGCCTCTTCGAATAAGTCAGTTCTTTTCTCTTCTTATTATTTCGACAATATTCTCGAAGCTAAGGGCCTGCGCACAATAGAGGAACAAGAATTAGATATTAAGATTTCAACCTATCAGAAATCGTGTATTCCGATGTAATCAGTTTCTGATAGGTTAAAATCTTAATATCTAATTCCTGTTCCTCTATTGTGCGCAGGCCCTAATATTGTCGAAATAATAAGAATGAAAAAAAAATGTTTGAAATTAACCCTGTGTGAACCATTGGTCTTTTAAGGAACAGTCAAAATTTCAATAATCTAAGTTTTCCTCTGTATTTTGCTACATAAAAAAAGCAATATAGTATCTGAGTTTAAAACCGTTTAAAATTTAGAGATGTATAACAAAAAAATTTTTGCCGATTTTTCACAACTGATTTGTTAGGAGAAATATGATACTAGCATTATATTTTTCTTAATAAATTAGTTGTAAAAAATCAAACAAAATTTTTTATTGTTATATTGTATAAGTATACCAATATATATTTTTATACTAAATAACCCACATGACGTTAGGGTATGAAAAAGTAGTTCAAGAGTAGGTACTTTGTAATTATAATTAACAAATTTTTTAAAAAATTTTATATATAGCTGTACTTATCTTTTTCCAATTTTTTTTTATAAAAAAACCTATAGTTTTTAACACCGGATCCAAACGGCCTTTTTTCAGAAGAGGTTCTCGTGCCAAAGATACTCTCGGTGGTTTGCCATTGCCTTCCGAGGGATGATTAGTGCTTTTAATCACAAGATGATTTCTTTTAAATGTGGTGATTTCTTTTAAATGCGGAAAAAAACCGCATATGTAGAGATCGAATCCGAATCCACGGATTCACAAGTCAACCGCTCAGAGCGTGAAGCTACTCGCGCTACTAGACTAAATATGTATAAAAGAATGTGCCCCTTATTTTCTAGAGAACAACATATTCGAAGCTCATCACAAAATCGGAGAGGAACACTTGAGTCACTAACCTTGTTAGTATATACGTTCAAAATATTCATATATTAGCAAGCGTCTTCTCGATCGATTCTTTTGGTTCCAAAGTTTGAAATTGCTCAAGCAGATTTACGCAAGTATGCAAATTTGCGGGAACCAAAAAAATCAATGTAGTTGACCCTAAACAGTATAAAATGTATTACTTACATAAAAGTATTGAGGAGATACACTCGTTCTAATCCATTTAATAAAGATATTATTGGTCATGTATATTCTTAAAGTTACTGTGATCTAGTCTACATTTCCTGTATTTAAATTTTCATAGACAGTTTAAGGTAAATGATCTTATAAATATTTGTAATTCAATGAGAAGCATACGTAACGGAAAAAAGGCCAGAGCTTGCTCGTTCACTGTTTAGGGTTAACATTCCTTGAACAACAACGACAAATCATGCGAGAAACGTACAATTATTGGCGACCTACCTGTCGAGGCTTGACCGGTGGTGGAGGACGAATGGAGGGCCCGAGGACTGCGGCTACCGTAGTTTGGGGTTGATGATGAAGTGAGGGTGGCTGCTGCCAAGGCAGCCCTGTGCGTCCCAATGTTCCCTGCAGTTGCACATGTTGCTGCAGCTGCTGCTGCACTTGCTGCTGCGCTTGCTGCAGATGCTGCTGACTGCTGCTGCGCTCGACTACTGGCATAACTCGAGGAAGTGTTGAACCGACTGAAGAAGTCTTCCGAACTGTCTGTGAAATTAGCTACTAATTACTCGACTCTTAGCCAATATATTTTTTTAATGCACATTAGTAACTAAACCCAAATATAATAGAACAATATTAAATTAAGTATATAAATATATATCAATATATCATTGACTTAATTTCGCGAAAGAGTAAAGTACGAAAGAATAACCTTTTACGTAGATTCATGAAGAACGAGTACATTACCTGACTTAACTGGCCAAATCTCCAACAAATACTTAAGCACGGCGATTGGTTGTTGGAAATCTAGTGAAGGTCCGTTTTCTTCCGAGTGTAACATCAATACCGGGCCGAAGCAAACGGCGAGGCTTGCTGGTGACATTTTATTGCACTGCGACACTACCATCGCCAAATGATCCAGCAAATAAATCAACGTGCACTATTCAACCAATAACACACGTTATTAGAATCTGAATATGATCGTGAGCCTCGTTGTATCTAATTTCTCTTTTTCTAATTAGAGAGAGAATCAATGTGCATTTAAAATAAAATTTTACAGATACGTACCCTGTTGACCTTAGGCAAGCAATCTAGTATACTAAACATAAGCTTAGCATTGCCCTGCGGGTCGTCCGGCAAACAGACGGCCAGTGCATCGACCATCATCTGGTAGAGGCACTTCGTGAAGAGAGGTTCTGGAAGTTCTCGTAAATAATCCTTTAGTACACCTGAAAGAAACGATCACGGTTACAATCGGCCACTTCGCATTTTTCTCTGAACGGTTTTTCTTATGTCTTATTTTGTGGTATATTACCAGTAATGACGTTGATGTCCGGCACGTTGTCGGGTGACAAATTCACGGACCGTGCGTTCCTCTCGAAAGCTTCCCTAAGTATCCTCTTCTTAGTCGCCGAACCGCATAGTCTGTACAAACCTATTGCACGAAATAAAACAATGGCTTTTGTTACGGATACACATGAACACCTACAACTCGATTTTTTAAATTATTATTTGTTCGATACTTACCAATAATGTCAAGTCCTCTTCTCTCCACCTCTTCGACGCAACGCCATACAATAATTGGAACATTCGGGATTCCCATCGCTAAAGCTGTGGAAACTCCACCGGGAACTCCACCAGTCTTGGTTTCTCGACTTACCTATTTAGTTAATACAAAAGAAATGATTATTACATCTTAAGATTTAAATAAGCTATCAAACTAATTATTATAAGAAGATATTAAATCTGCACAACTTTGATTAAAAATTAAAGACTGATATAATTTTTTTGATATTTTGTTGAGGAGTCTATATTAATTTTATTTTTTATATAATTTGTCATCGTAAAGAAATGATCATAAGAAAGAGAACTTACCACTGTATCCAAATCAACTCCGAAGAGAGGTGCTACCCTCGTAGCTAAGGATATGACCGGCAAACCCCTTCGACGGAAAGTTTGTTGGGCGTCGGTGTACCGCAGTTTTAAATAAATCGTGCCACGTGGCTCAACCTTGACGGCCAGCTGATGTTCTGGCGATTCCTTTAGTAGACTCGCCAAATGCACCGATCCCTTGTAACAGAGTTTGTGCCTGTACTGTGGGTCCCAAGAATAAACGAGCAGATCCAGCTGCCGATTGCCTACGAGATCCAGCTCGAAGGTTTCGTCCCAGTCAAACATCAAATCGCCGGTTCGCACTACCGTGCGCGCTTTATGCACCCTGTCACACTCCAGTACGCAGTACAAGTCTCTTAAGCCGCAACTAGCTGTAGTTTTTCGCAAATAAATATAATTATTGAAACAAAATTATTCCATAGAGCGTAACATAAAATTTTTATATTCGAGATTGACAATTGTAACATTACACGTGTTTGAAATTAAAGTGGGGCAAGTGTAGAAAAGTATGATAATTATTTTATTGACATTTGCCGATCTCAAATGACGTACAAGCATATAGATTATTTCAGCTAACGCACCTAAATTCGGCTGGCCTGAGGGAGTGGAAGGTGTAGTGGCGGCCGATGAGGTCGTAGTCGATCGGAGACCGCGCCCCGCTAAAAGATGGACCGATAACAATCCGCTGACTCCACTTGCCAAATCACCGCCAGTCGTCTCTCCGAGCGAGCTCAAAATCGAGCTCGTCGAGCTCGGAGTGCCCACAGTCGGTGGCTTCTCTATTTTATATTTGAGGAATTCTGTGAAATGAAATGACCTTTCAATACTCCCAATTTTACGAAATGAGGCGGTAGACAGATACGCGATAGACTGTCTAATCACCCGCAGGATTAATATCTAGCAGTATTTGACCCTGAGTTCTGGTAGGCGTTGGGGTAGGTATGCTCCTCGTTGACTCCAAATCCAACAGGTTCCTGATCCTTCTGACCGATGTCGCCCGTTGACTCGCGGAGCTTGTTAGTGAAGCTTTCTGGGCTGCCAGCGATGTGCGCGCGCTCGAAGCCACCGAGGCTGGCCTCGGATTCGTTGTACCGCGATGGCATGTCGAGCTAATCGCCGTTGATGCTCTCAGATTCGCAAGATTGACCTGTTGAGCCGAGGCTGATCTCGTCGACAAGCGATCAAGCGTAGTCGAGAGCGGCCTGTATGCACCGTAACTGCCGTAGTCACCCTACATTAACCAACGAGAAATACAGAGTACTTCATTAACATGCATTCATAGCTTTTCAAATGTCTGCTTGGTTAGTGTTATTAAGTTCAAAATAGAACTACAAATTAAATGAGAATCTGTCAAAAGTAGTAATAATTAACCTACATCTAAATTCGAAAAATCTAAAACCTAATTAAGTAGATAAATTTATTTTTTTATTGTCTTTTAGATTATTAATTTATTTTTACCCTTTTGTTTGATTTTTATCTAATTGTAAACTATTTATCGAATTTTAATTAATACTGCTTAATTAAACAAACATTTAAAGAATTATAAATAAAGCTAATGTGATTACATGATAACATTGAGAGAAAATGAAAAATTTACATGTAAATACATTTCGCATATCTCTCTCGGACACATTATTATTTTTTATTCATTTTTACCTTAAGAAGTTGGTTTCGGACTTATTCGACGAGTAAGCTAATATATGTAATAATAAGTTATCAGAAAGAAGAAGGCAAAATCTATTCTAGTTATTCGTGGCGATAACAAAATTAGCAAATCCAATCGATTGTCAGAGCTCTGAGCTTACTGCTCTCAGCTTATTTCACGTTTACCTGATTGACGGCTGCATGAATGTTCTCGGCGCTGTATGTATAACGGGGTGGTCTACTTGTAGTTGCCCTGATCTGCTCGTATAGAGCACTGGTACTTGGCGTGCGGCTCAGCCAGGCGCGGTACTCGTCCGACGTGAATACACTCGGTGAGGACGGTATCCTGCCTGTTTATCGGTACGGTTAGTTCGCGTAAAGTACAGTTTCACGGATTACATTACCGGTTATTGTCTTGATTATCTGACGCTTACCCCTGTCACGTCTGATAGAAGGCAATTCCGGCGCTGATAATGCGCCGTCGCTGTCCTCTTGATCGATCAGGCCCGACGCGACCGTGCTGAGGCCCGACCTGAGACCAGGCTGCTGGGGCAACGTCCGACCGCTTCGTGGTAGTGAATTTGATCTTAAACCTATGGAGAAGAATTCATTTCTGACTTAAGAAGAAATGAATTCTACCGGAGGTTTCGAATGTACAACCTTAAGGCTGTTATAATTCTCTGTTATCCGTGTGGATTTGTACAACGCTTATTAATAAGTTTATATAGTTCTCTGAATGTTCCAATTCAGTGATTATAATTAGCAAACTCTATTTCCAAAATCTATATATGATTCTCCAATTATAACTTGATAGAACTTATAAGTCGAAGAATTAAATGCTTACTACTTATGTGATTTAACCCCATGAAAATTGAATTCGTAGGAAGGTATTATTCATCGCGAGTAAGTCTAAATAACTTCGAAATCGCGAATGTAATTCATAAATTGTTTCAACCCACCTGAGGAACTCTGACCGATTTGTGACCTCGATAGGGTAGCTAAATGTGACACGGCGCTGCTTTGAGATGGATTGTTCATATTGTGCCTATAATAGTAATACGCTGATTTCGGCGAACTGGAACACGTAGCCTCGGTGTCGGAGGCATAGTCCAATGATGGTCGATGTCGCCTCGTCAAGGTGCCGAATTGTCCTTGCCTCTGCGCGGCGGACGTAACATCAGTCTGTCCGTACCTTGGGTTATAACGCAATGCTGATGTACCTAATAACAACATAATGCTAATTATTAGAATATAGCAAATGCATCTATTATCAAATATCAACTTCACGCTTTAACTTATTTTGATTTATAAATTTTCTAGTTCTTTCGATATATAATCTCATATTTCTTTAGATCTTCTCTAACAATAAATCACATTATTATTTCAATAATAAATTAAATAAAAAATGAATGAATTATAAACATGTATTCTAGAGTAATATAATTTGAGAGCGATGTAATTCTTATTGAAGGAAATTTCCGTGTACAACATAGATCTGAGAAGATAGTTAGTAAGTTAGAAAGGGAGAAGATAGGGGGGGGGGGG